GTAATTTTGATAAAATTTCTATAGAACCGATCTATAAACCGTCTTTCAAAAACAGCGTTCACGACTGGGAGAGAAGTATATTCGTTATTTATATATATTTATTCGTATATATACTCTATCGTATATATATTATATGTACATGTACGTATGTAATTTTAGTATGTATATATATCAATAATTAGTACACATATTTGACTGGGAGAGAATGCTTTTAGCATTAAGTCTAATTTTTGAATAAATAAATTTGTACTATAAGTACCTATATCCTTTCAGATAAAAAAAATCCAAATCGATTTAGTGTTAAAGGAGTTATGAGGTAACATGAACAACAAAAACCTCCTTTTTGATGTCGGTTGATAATTCATGACGATTGGTTGAGTCATTACAGCGCTAAGAAGTAACAAACTTAAACAAACTCACTTTCACATTTGTATTATTAGGATTGAGATTCAACTATAAAAGATTGATAAAATAATGTATGACTATTTGTGGGACTAACTAGAAATATATTTTTGTTTATGTCAATTATCTACAACTCTGTATGTATCCGTTTTTTTTTTCTATATAATCATTTCATCACTATATCATTTCATTTCTCTATATACTTATTTTGTACGCGTATGGTTCAATTTTATCAATTAACTACAATATATAGATTTCTGTACTCGTTGTCTATTTTTATGTAACTTAAAAAAAATTGTAACTATATATTTTTTTGTAATGACTGTTTGTACTAAAATAAAGTACTAAAAACAATTTTTTTTAAACCAAATCGAGACTTAACGCTTAAAAGCTTTTTCCAGTCCCAATTGTGTATTTAAAAATATGTGTAAACGACACGAAAGTTTAAAATTAACTAGAAATAGCTTAAAAGGACTCCTATTAGGAAATATACATATACCCGAGCTAATTAACTACGTATTAAGTAGTAGGTAAGTTACTTACCGTAAATAAGTAAATTACCTATTGAAGGTTAAAACATATTTAAAATTTAACATCATGTTAAGTAACCTAGTAAAAGTTTCAGAGGTAACCGAACCATAAAAACCATATGTAAATCACGCGTCCAATTCACCTATTTCGAAAAGGAAACATTCACATCGGCGGGGCTTGAGATTGTAGTTTTTAGTTGCCTTTTTTTACATCGTAAACTTTCCGAGAAGAGGTGAGTGAGAAAAAAAGTGGGAGTCGTTTCGAAAACTCCAAATGAACGGTTTTGGTAGACTTCCGCCCGTGATGACCGCTGGCGACGAGGGCATTAGGGTGTACGAACAGTGCAACATTAGAGTCGATATTTTAAATACAATTTATTGTTTCCGCAAAAGATAAGTTTAGCGATTCAAAAAAGTAAAATCTGCTAGTAACAGATTATTTATAATTAATTGTATGTATTGTTATTATCAATTAATTAAGTTAAAATACAAATATAATCCTTAGTGGCTTAAACAATAAATTAAAAATTATATTCGTTAACAATACTACATTTATTTATTTTTTTATTTATTCTTTATTGCACAATATAACTTTGTACAAGTGGCGAGCTTAATGCCATATGGCATTCTCTACCAGCTAACCATTAGGTAAAAACAGAAAGTGTATGAAGGGCAGATGTGAAAAATATGTGACATAATTATAGCAACATATTGAAATAATTATACATAGTAATACATAAGAAATACACATACATCGTGTTGAATATAATAAAATTTAAAATTCGATAACGTATAAATTAGGAATATATAACAATTTAACAAAATTACATACAAATAAGACATAATAATAAATTGCATGAAATAATATAAATATCAATTGCAATAAATTTTATTAATATATAAATTGACAATTTATTTATTACTAAAATTTGTTTATTGATTTGATGCATTCTTCTAATAAAAAAAACACGGGGTTTGATTTTTAGAATTCTCAAATTTTGGATAGTTTTTAAAGCAACTGGTAATCAGTTATACAACTTCTATCCTTAAAATTGTTTTTTATGTATCAAGGTTTTAAATTTGTGTAAGTACTAATTAAGTAAAACTACCAACCGCTCAACCGCTCATATGCGTTATTTCCTCCAACTTGAAGCATAAGAGTACTCGAATTGGAGCAAATAATACACACTTACAAAATTTCATTAAAATCGATTGAGTGATTAGAGAGCAACGTGATTGAACATCGTTACCCGTTATTTTTATGTATTAATATTAGTTATATAAAAATGATTATTGACTGCTTGCTTTGAACTTTGATAGAACAGTATTCTAATGAAATTAAATTTCCAGAATATGCATGTAATGTACAATAAAAGAATAAAAGCTTTGGCATTCGATTATCTGTGCCCACCTCGCAAGGGACTTGGCATATGTGTATATATAAAAAAACAAACTGCGAATATACTTGGACAATTGTTATACAAGGTGTACCAATTTTTCATAATTTATAAACAATAACAAAATTAAATAATAAACGATAAGAAACTAAAAATTATAAATAACTTGTACTATCTACCATAAGAAGATCTAAAATCCAGGTGCATTGAGTCGCGAGAAAAAGCTAGTGTAACAGTAATTAAAGAAAAATTAAAGACGTTGTTTTCGACTCAACCGCACCTCTATTCGCGGTGTGAAGAATGTTATTAAGTGGGTGAGCAGAAAAAACAAAAATATCTCTATCGGCGTCCGAGACGTGATAATTAGTAGATATAGGAGTTCTGATCCGCCGTCACGGACAAACACGTTTTTATAATCTAATATGAGGAAATATAAGGTACACAGGCAAGTGTTCCTATCCATTTATTAAAAAAACTAGTTTTTATCTCGGGGGGGGGGGGATTGTTAGTAAAGCAGACTACCAGTCCCATTGCTAGCAATATACTCTATCAGGCCGACCTCCACGTGGTTCCCCTGGAAACCATCGTGCTGAATTTCAGGTGTATTCATCACGATGGGCTAACTGGCCTGCCTTTTCATTCTCATTCACCATCTGGGAGATGCCTCGCCAACGTATACCGTTAGCGCAGATGGAGTCACCATTCCATTATCATCCATTAAAAAAATGTTTTATCTGCGACTTCATTCAAGTGATCCAGTTACTCATATATTTATTGATCGAAATAAAGATTAACCTATGTCCTTTACATTCCAATATGCCTACTACACATATATAAATTTCATAACGATCGTTTGAGCCGTTAACGCGCCAAAATGTGACAAGCAAACTCACGCATTTATAAATATTTATATGTATTAGGAAAAAATAAAGGTAAAACCATCATATCTGTTTTTTAATGCGCTGCGCTATCGATATATGGCGGGGCATCAGTGAGGAATGATAGGTGGCGGTTATAGCAAGTCAGTTAGCCCATCGTGATGAATTCCACTAGAACTAACCACGATGGTTTACAGGGGGAACCGCATGGAGGTCGACCTGATTGTTAACAATGGGGCAGCCCCATTACTTCCCCCAACAATCCCTTTCCCCCCAACCATCATGTCTTTGCGGGAGAATGCCGTTAACAGTAACACTAATATATTTCTAGTGAATGCTAATAAATGTGAAAGTGAGTTTGTTTGTTACCTTATAGCGCTTTAACAGCTTAACCAATTACTATGAAAAAATATATGGAATGGAGTATATAGGCTACTTTTTATCCCAGTTAGTAAAAATATCTTGCTCACGCAATAGAAGTCACGAGGAAAGGCTAGTAGTACTAAAAATAAAATATTTTAAAAAATCTATAAGGGATCCATCTTAGGCTAACAGAATATGAAATATTAAGTGAATACGGTAAGACTTATTTATGTAGGTAAAAAAGGCAACTGATATTGTAGCCTTAATCTATGCCTGAGGGGGTGAAAGGGTTTGTTAGTAATGGAGACTAAGAATCCCATTGCTAGCAATATACCCAAGCAAGTCGACCTCCTCGCGGTTCCCCCTGGAAATTATCATGATTAATTCCAGATGAATTCATCATGATGGACTAACTGGCCTGTTTTCATTCTCATCAATCACCCTTCACTGGTGCCCCGCCAGCGTATCCTGTTAGCGCAGGCGGAGTTACCATTCCATTTTCATCCAATAAAAAAAAAAAAAACTATGTCTGAATCTAAGGTCATCGTATCGTATTTGTCTATGAGAATTCGTAACTAAGCAACAGTGTTGTCGTGCTCGAAGTAGTAAATAGATTAAGGATCTTGTTTACGATGTGCCACAACAGTCACAAGGACATGCCTATCTATTTTTTTTATTGTTTTATTAGATATCTTAGGTACATAGTATTATATTATCTGTATCTTACGTTTCATCTATGAATTTCATTTACTCGACACAACGCTGGAACCTTCTAATTTAATTTTACCTATGTATGTAAATAATGTAGTTATAGACCTATATAAATAGAAATGTAGCAGCATATTAATAAATATAATCTTCAAGCTGAGTTTTTTGTAGGGTAGATAGAAAAAACTATATCTAAGATTGGTATTTATGCAGAGAAGAAATGTCCATGAACCAAGTGTCAAAGACTATCTTCTAAATCTCTTAGGCACATACATAAAAAATATATAAATTTTCAATATAATTAGATAAAATACAAAATTCGTTATTGAAAACTCAGTAATTTTTTATATACCTAATAAAAAAATATTTATTAAAATACTTTACGCCATCTGTCATGTATAATAAGAAACACGATAAATAGCATTTGTATCGTTAGTACTGTTCAAATTTATAGATGGCAGTAGACCAGTAAAATATAAACGTAAAAGTCAAAAAATTTCTTTTTACTTTTACATTTAATAACAGATGTCGCTGACCGCTAGATATAAATTATTATGATAAAATGTGGACAGATGGCAGTAATTATAACCCAGTCTATGTGAGAGTTCATTCAATATGCGGCCCATTGCGTACTTTAATGTTGTTCTTAATTTTGCTGGGTAATGATAAAAGCAATCTTGAAGTCGATACGATACAGGCGAAGCTAGCAGGGCCAACCACTCTACCGCTATGTCTGTCAGTCTGGCGCCGCGTTCGAAGCAAAATACTCTGAATGTGATGTCAGTTTACCAGTCGGATTTGTTATGAGATTTCTGTGTTGTGTTATATTTACATGAATTGTGACTAAATATTGTATGAAATAGTATGTTTAGAAGCCGGTAAAGGCAGTGAAGTGTTTGTTTGTGATTTTCAGTGACCGTTTCTGTGTTAAATTGTGACTTCAAGCAAGATCGTCGCGATTATTTCAAGTTCGCCGGCTTATCATGTTGTGGTGAGTGTATGATCGATATTTACCCCCTTTTAAGACATCATTGTAATCTTTTTGTAGTAAACAATATTTGTTCATGTGTTTATAACTTAAAGTCAGTGTTTTTGCAGTTGTAGGGAGTTAAATGTTTTATATTCAATAAAATAAAAATTATCGTTTATTTCGAGAACCGTTGTTCATTATTTCTCACAGAATTACCTATTTTCGATTATTTATTACCCATATCTGACCCAAAAGGGTATCCACTGACTCTAAATTGAATTTATTTTATTAAACTTTACCTTACATAAGTATATATAACAAACCGCTCAATGTCAATTACCTACTTGTTTAAAATTTGTTTTACTTTTTTGTCTTGACCTTTTATAATAATAATAAGTAATTAAAAAATAAAATCCAATATACTAATTTGCATTATTACTTAAACAATCAAATAACACAAAAACCTTCTTTCCTTACAATTTATTCCTTTTATTTACTAATTATTCAATAAAAAAATAAGAGTTAGTTTCCTTAATATTTCTAGTAAGAACAATTCTATGTACCTCCATAACTATTTCTGAAATCTATCAAAAATAATATGATTAAATACTAACTTATTAAAAATATTAAGTAAGTATACTTTTTATTATTGGAATAAAAAAATTTCAGTCAGCTTGATTTCCATTCTAAGTTGCATAAAAAAAAGTTAAAAATAAGTAAGTAAATAATATACACATAAAAGTACATAGGTTTTTATAAATCTACCTACACCCCTGAAGACTTGCTGTTGAAAATCCTATTAATGTCACACCAATCAGATGGTATATAGGTATATATTTTTTAAGTTCTCTAACCTTCCACAAAAGAGGGGAAGGGGATTATTAGTAATGGGATCTAACAGCTCCATTGCTAGCAATATTCTCTATCAAGTCAACCTTTTAGGCTTTTTTTTCCAGAGGGGAAATCATCATGATTAATTATTAAATTTGTCAAAATTAAATTTGTTGTAATGTTAAATTTGTCATTATTGGCCAGTTAACATGTTTCATCCTCACCTACCAATTCTCACTGGTGCTCCATCATTTTAAACTCATAGTACAAGCAAGTTTACTATTTTATTTTTACTTTTAAAAATAATATCTATCCATATCATGCGGAGGACAAGGAATGGTGACACTTTGGAGTTGATTCTGAAACACCATTTTCAATTTATAATAATCTTTTTTTAAATTTTCTTATAGTTACATACTTCAGAAATCGAGGACTACATACTTATTTGTGCCACTGACAAACAAGTATGAAATCCCTAACTTTTCAGGTAGGTATAAGAAGTCTGTGTTTCAGGAATCAGTCATTTGATATTACAGCAAAATGACTATTCTAACATCCAGTGTAAACAAAATTTTTAGTAGGGTTTTATCAGAACTTAATCTTTTTATTATTACTTAATTTCAAAATTAAGTTTGGGGAATGGTACTTAAGAATTGACCCTATTGTATTTTTTTTATATCACCATTAAGCTATAAAATGTTATTTCAGAATATTTATTTATTTACAATTCAGAATGAGTATCATTCTGTTTAGGAAACATTTGTTAATTTCCTAAATACTATAGCCAGTATTCGCATGACTACCTTTCTGTTACACCACACACAACTTGCCCAAGTTATAAATAAAAATTTTATACTTTAATTACAATTTCACGGCCATTGGAAATGAACACTCAATTAAAATAAGTACAATTACACAATAATAAAATATAAACATTTAAGATTGTTTCGAAATTAAGTTACCTACAATGAATGTATTATATTACAAAATAGATATTATATGTAACATGTTGCATAAACCTCAGAGTGTTTTAAATTAATTAACACAAAATAATTAACTGAGTATGATCTTAATTATGAAGAATAATTAAAAAATTGTCTTTCAATGCAACAGTTATATTAGTTGTACAATGTTGAATGTAGTCCTCCCTTATAGATTACCATAACATATGGATCTAATTCTACTGCATCCACTGACTACCTGCAATGCATTTGATGTCCTTGATACATCTGATCTAGTTGGAAACTAATTAGTAATTAGATTGTCCTATGCTCGAGAACCTATCTTCTCCAACAGTTACAGTTCTCACTTATATTAAATTTAAACATATTTCAAATGCATTTTAAAATTAAATTACTTTAATTTAAATATGTCCGTGCATTCTGTGTTCAAATATTTCATGTCTATTCCCCTATGACTTCACCTATCTTAGTTAAAATTGATATTGGTACTTATAACAATTTTCTTTAATATTTTTAAACTGTTATTTCAAACTTTCTCAATTATACATTATAATCATACATATTTGTAAAACATTTAATTCCTTACCTTAAAGTTGTCTTGATAAGATTGCTCTCAGCAATAAGACCACCTTATTGTATTTATACTTGTATTGTTACATTTATTACATGTCTTGTTTTATTCCTTATGTTGTATAATGCAAATAAAGTATACTCATTCATTCGGTCATTGTAATCTTATACCAAGGATTTTACTCTTAGAATAGTAAGCAGATACTGTATATAAGTATATATGTATTAAACTTTTAAGAAAAAATATTTCTTATGTGTATTAAATTTTTTTTTAAATATTTCAATCATATAAGATTAATGCATTTCATTTTGAAAATCTTTATTATTTAGGTATCAAATGTGTCTCTCTGTTTACATCCAAATGTTTCTGGCGCAAAGATAGTTAATAAATAAATGTCAGCAATGATATACTTGTTCAAATCTTCAGTTATCAATTGCCCTTATCAATTTTCATTCTTTTATCTTATCAATCAATATATTGTTACTGTAATATTATCATTTAGAGTTTAGGTGCCATCATATAAATATATTGACATGTTTTATCATGTAACCTTAAAAATGCTTTAGTCATATTTATTATGCAATATTCTCTTTATATTTTATTGTTCTTCTATTATCTATAATTTGTTAGTCATTGACTATTGATCTACAATGCTTTTTCTTTATCAATGAGAAATTATACGGTAGATATATTGACCCAGATATCAACTGTACTCCGTGCGTTATGCCATTATGCGGGTAACAGATAACTCATTTTCATTCAATAAATTCAATTAAATTTTTATATCAAAAATGTTAATACAGAGATTGTTTTTCAATAACTGTCAAAATGTCAGCTGTCACCATCACTATGACACAACGCACAGATTACAAATTATTAATTAGATGGGCTGTATGCTTGATGGCCATTGGTCATCTTTGTTGTATAAAAAATATATTTTTAAAATATATGCGCAACTATGCATTTGAAAATTCTGTATTTATAATGGTTTTTTTTTTTGATGGGTGAAAATGGTATGGTAACCCCGCCTGCGCTGACGGACCAGTGAAGGGTGATAGATGAGAATGAAAACAGGCCAGTTAACCCATCATGATGAATTCATCAGGAATTAACCACGATAGTTTCCAGGGGGAACCGCGAGGAGGTCGACCTGGTTGGGTATATTGCTAGCAATGGGATTCTCAGTCTACATTACTAACAATCCCTTTCCCCCCAATATTATTAATGGGTTGAAAAATTTTGTTTCCGACAATTCATAATCGAAATGTAATACCTAATTTAATTCTTTAGTAAACTTTTAATTTTTTTTTTTTAATTTAAAAAGGAAATCTTTTTAATTTGTCGCGTTCATCGTCAAGTCATCCTTGAAAATAGAACAGAAACATACTCTTTATTTGCTTGTCGACAGATGTATGTTTGTTTTAATACAATCTGTGGGTGTGATTCTCCCATACACATGCTTTTTAAAGGGTAATTTTGTTAGTTTGACCTTTTTTAACGTTTGTTTTTTTTTTTTGTTAAAATAAGATTCATAAAGGATGACGTGACGTGATTATAATATTCTATTATCTAAATTTACTCCATATTTTAGATATTTTTGTTTAATGCAACTTAGAATAGCAAACAAAATGGTAACCGTCATGTATAAACATGAGAAAATGAACGTCACAGAATATATGGTGATGCCTACGGCACCTCTTACTCGTTGCTATTTCTAAAATTTTATGCTTTTAGGTGTTTTTACAAGAACGAAGGCCTGGATAAATCAGATTGCGCTAGCTAGTTCCAAACTAAACGGAATTTGTATTTCTTATTTAAAAATCTTACTGTACATTTGTTTTCAGTATTTACCTAATCTGTACTAAGGAAATTGGAATGGCGACTTCGCTTTCGCTATCGGCATACGCTAGCGGGACACAAGTGAGATGATAGGTGTTGTTAAAAGCAGACGAATTTGCCAAAAATTAAGCACGATGGTTTCCAGGAGGAATTGCGTGGAGGTCGATTTGGTATATTGCTAGTAACGTGAATGTTAGACCCCATTAATAACAATTTCTTTCTCACTACTAAAATTATTAGGTGTTTTTGCCTCTCGGTGTTTTAACGACTTAATCAATTATTATGAAATTTAGATAATAATGTAAATGACATAACGACTAATCTTTTTATCCTGTTCAATCAATAAATTCCGGTCATTCGGACGAAGTCGCGTGAAAAAAACTAGTCTAGTAGTAAAATCTCCTATCAATAATAATAAGTATGTCCTTATAAATAAAAACAGAAATCTATCTAGCATGAAACCGCGCAATTTGAGCAAAACAGGGCCAGTTAGATCACATGTGATAATAGAAATTGCCAATTAGCCTTGTAGTTTTGCACCTAACTCGACTTACGTCATTCTTTAGCCGGCTGAGCGAACAATAACATACATATTATGTTTAACACATAATATGCTAAAAGGCACACCTGTGCTTTTTTTTTGTACATGAAAAACCCGAAACAGGTATCCGAAGAACTAAATTGTGATAGTAGAATATAAAAATTATATAATAATCTTTTAAAATACTTGTCCATATCCGCATCTTCGTTCACGTGATCTGGCTCTTCATCATTCCAAGTACTGTGTGTATACAAAGTTACGTGACTATGGTTATGGT